CAATTTCTCCACAGTCAAAATCCGTATTTGTCAGTATTATCCAGACAGGCAATTTTCATATTATTTCCATATCTATTTTATGCACTGGTTCATGTATTACCACTCTGCTCAGAATATGTAGACCTGTTTTGTGTGATCACCAAATGTATTTATTTTCGTTGTTTTCAGAAATATCATAACAATTTGAATTTGAAATATAGAAACAGTATTGAAGTTTGAAGTCTATGTAGGAATTACATAATTAAAATGTCAGCAATGACATATCTTTTAGAAATATAACATAAATCTTGTTTTTAAAACATATCATTACATTTCAGCGGTAGCTAGTTTTCCCATGAGTAGATGCATAATTAGAAAAATTTGCTGCGCACATATAATAATAACTTTTGTAGGCAAATTCCCCCAACAGGATTTATTTTAAGAAAATAATCAAACTAAAAATAAACGCTTTCATTTTACAGCACAATTACTACCAGTGAGATATTACTGCAGTGAAATCTCTGATTTCCTTTTAGTCTAGCATCATATTTCTCTGCCTGCCTCTTCTGTTAAGTACATACAGTAAAAGAAAAAAATTCTCATTGTTGGTTACTACTCATTAATTTGGAGTTTTTAATTACATTTAGATGGTCTTAAATCATGAAAATTAGTAAAATGAAGCTCAGGGAGGGATGGTTTCTAGCAAGGGAATAGTAGGGGTTGCTTTGTATGGTCAAGCACCTGCAGATATACTCGTGTTCTGCCTGTTTTCCAGTGCCGTAGGGCACTGCTATTATATTTGGTTCTAGCAGTATAACCTTTTCCAACAGCATGCCTTTTGTGTTCTCTTATTCCAGTATATCTCTTGTATCCCTGAGAGTGTGTCTGTGTTTGTTTGGGTTTTTTTCTTCCAATAGCTTCCTGCTGAACAATTCTTATAAGTTTTACTTCAGATGCAGTTGTCAAAGACAGTCACTAAAGCTCCCTACAGAAGGTAACATCCTGGGACTATAGTGGAAATTCCAAATATAGTAAACTCTGCTACAGATCTTTCTGATAGGACAACCTGAATATCATTAGTGCCCAGTGTTGTCCTCTGTCCCTTCTCTCTTATTCTGAGACTTCCTCTTCCATAAGGGCTTGCAAAAGTTTACCTCTGGAGGATGGGTGATCCAGGGCTTGTCTTCAGATGAAGACAACACACGAATGGCAAGGTGAGCCCATCATTCCTCTTGACTGCAGCCCCTCCTGGGCCAAGCAGCATTACCCTGTTTTACAGGTATGTTAACCAGATAGACTTGGCTCCCATAAAATATTAAAACTTCTCACTGAATTTGAAGCATTAGCATAACTGCTAAATTCCAATTTTAGTGTGGCCTAATCTAGTAATCCGTGCTAATTGTAGAGGCTAGAACCAATAAAGGATCATGTTGTTCTCCTAATAAATGCTATAGAATGCAAAGCTTCCTTTGGTAAGTACCTGAACCACCTGATTTATCACTTCCAGATCTTCAAAAGAAATCTACCATGAAAGATTACCAACCATAGGAGGGCATTTCTTCTCAAACGTTTACATGAGCAAAGACTTCAGGTAAAACTGGGGCCTCTTCTCTTTGCATTGTCAACTTCTAATAACTATTATAGTATTATATTATAAATTACAGATGTTTTTATGGCACACCTTATCCTTTAAAGACTGTATTCTGTCAGAATAAGCTTAAACAGAACTGTATGGTATAGTATGGTGTAAACACATGAGATTTGTTAGCAATTATCATATGAATTTATTTTTCTTCCAGAAGTATTCACTAATAAAATTGAACACTGGAGATTTAAAAACTTTGTGATTATTTCCATTGATTAATAGATTCTGAGACTAATGTAGCATCTGATAGCATTAAAATATAAAACTGCTTCTAGTTTGTGAAAAGTGTAAGAATAACTGTGAGAACTACTTTTCTTCTGTTGCATTACAGAAAATATGTTTTCATGATATATAGAAAATAAGGCTTCACTTGTTATACTCTTTGTGTAGCCATTCCAAAACATTGTAACTTTGCCCTCTCCTAAATCTCATCTGACTGCTTGTTTTCTGTACTATGGAGATTCATGAGGAACTGGAGTCCCAATGGCACATTTTTGTGCCACATAGCACAGCACATTTAGAGGTGTGAGCACCTAAGGATGAAGGTAAACAGTGATTTTTTAAATATCTCACTATACACTAACAATAGTAAATATTCCTCTGTGCCCTGGAAATTTACAACCATCTGTAAACACCTATATCTCCTGTTAGTGGCCTTTTCTCATTCAGTTGTGGAGATTGGATTTCTTAGGTTGCCCATAACCACGAACGAGATCTAGATCACCAAAGCAAATGAATCCTATTTCATCACAAACAGGGAAGGAGAACAGCTCGGGAGGGAGGGCTGTATATCACATGTAAAATACAGTAATGGATGGGGCAGAAATACCCCAAGAAAATTACAAGGGACAGAAGACAACTGTGGGTGCAGGCAGGAGTGGCACAATAATGTATTATAGGCTTGTTATATAGTTGTCCTTCTTTAAGGTCTGGGTGCCTGAGAACGCTGAAGAAATAAAACAATTTGAGAGGTGATAATCCTGTATTTACAGCACAGGTAACAGGTGTGAAGAGGTCAGAGCAGGAAGGGCACCTCCCCTTCATTCCTAATCCCTTAGTGCATTACTGGGGCTCCATGTGAAGAACAAAAGTAATGCAGACACACTCGGATATTGCACACAGCTCTGCAGATCCACCCTGGCTGACATTATCTACTTTCAATAAACTCTAGTTTGTTTTTACATGAGAAAGAATGAAAGAACACTACTAAGGGATAATTAAATGCAGCATGAGCCCATTATTTATGAGATCCCTGAACAGAGCTGATTTACTTATGGCACATCAGTAAACTCTTTTTTCCCCCTTATATTTTAAGAAATAACTACACTTGAACTTGATATAGAAATGCATTCTTTTATATGATTAACACGTTTGTGCTTAAAGTCTTAATTTATAGTGTTGTTTTAGCCACTGGGTATATTCTAATAGCATGAACAGAGTTTGCGGACCTTAGCACTGAAGGAAAAATAATTTACAAGGGGGGACAGCTTCTAGCAGGTATACCTAGCTTTTTACTTTAGAGCAGGGCCCTGATTCTGAAAGTATTTACTGAGAAAGAATAAAATTATTATTGTGAGCAAATCAAATAGCACAATGTAGAGAGAAAAAGTTTGTAGAAGATTCATATTAGGTTTGAAATTAAGAACTAGAATTGTAGTAGAATTAGATGTCAAGGTACAGACCAATTTTCTGGGATATAAAAGTCTTTACAGTGGCCTCTGTGAATCGAGGACACCCCAGCATTCAAAGCAAGGACAGCTTTAAGTTTTAATTTTTCTGATTTTTATTTTTTCCCTTGATAAAACTACAAGTTTTGATTTAAAAGATAGACACCAAGGCAATATGTGAATTTTTTACCAAAGAAATTGGAAGAATACTGAAAAGTAAAGAAACAGATCCTAGAAAGCAAAAATAAATTAACTGTAAGGAGCAAACTTTTAGAAATTCTCTGATCCTGGGAGAAGAATCAGGAATTTTCTGCAGCAACATTCACACTGGAAAATCTTCACCAAAAAGGTTGTATGATGACCCAACTGTCTGTGATGAGCTACAGAATTCAGAAATACTGGCAAAAGGAATATGCTTCAGGCTTTTACCTGAAATTCCACTGCTATTTAAAGAAAATAAAAAATAAAGGTGTCAGAGGAACCCAGGACAGGCTTAAAGGAGTCTCTGAAACATAGCTGAAAAATAAGCACAGCACCTACTAAAACTTGAAGTTAGTCCATGTAGTATGTGTCAGTTGCACTTTTGAGCTAGAAAAGTAGTACAGCTTACCCTGGCTGCTTCAAGCAGCTCTGGAATTGCCCAGTTGTAATTAGCCAGGGCTGGGATATTCTGTCTGCCTAGATTTTACTGTAATACTTTCTCCCAGTTTCAGGTGCTCTTCGTTATAGAACTGCCACGGAAATTATGATTTTAGGGGTTGGTTGCACACCTTGACTGCTCATGGAATGTCTAAATTTTGACATATCATATGTTATTGCTTATATTTCTGATGGTAAAATTGAGACCTGCTAAGTAAAATAAAAAGGTAGTGCAACAGAGAATGTTCTTTTCTCCCCTTTGCTCCCAGGTTCTCCTTACTATATTTTGTTAAAATTCTGCATCCAGTTAAATATACTTTTTATTTGCTTTTTGGTTTTTAATAATTACTTAATATTACTACTGGCAAGAAATTAATTTATGATGGCACCTGCAAAAAACCTTCCCATTTTTTCCTCATGTGAGTACACTCCTGGTCATTTTGTTATGATATCTTAAAAAAAATAAACTAAATACAGTAAAAATCAGCTTTCACTAACTAATTCAGTTTGGGCTTTACTTAGAAAACACCACACAGAACAATTTTCATATGAATCATCACTACAGTAACAGATTGAATGAACATCACTTAATTCATGACCTCATTCAATTAAAGCTTCCCCAAAAGTTCCCCATGAAATTCAGTTCATTGTTTGGCCAAAGCCCTCAGACTAGGAATTGTCTTTACCTTATTAATTAAGACCCATGTATTAAAGTTGGGTTCTCAAAAGTGCTCAGCGATGGCTTGGCTCTTCAGCTGAAATTATCTGTAAAAATTACTCTGATATGAATAAAATGGGAGTCCAGTCACTGCTAAAGAGCTGTTTGCTAATTCTATCTGAGTGTCACTGTAAAGTGGTCTGATTCTCTTGCCTTGAATTTTCTGCAGCAGAGTACACACAAAGGGTGCAAACAGCCAAAAAACAGGGCCAGCTTCAGGCAGTCATCTGCTCCTCAGCACAGCAGCTTGCCAAGGGTGGGTGCCAAAAGGGCAACAGCTCTTCCCACTTGCCTCATCTATGCCAGAGCCTGGGAGAGGCAGCTGACTCTCCTGTCAGCTATGGGCAGACTTCATTTCATCCCAGAGCTTCATTTCCCCTTCCTCCCCGTTTTTGTCTTCCTATGGCAAAAATGTGCTGGTCACAGGCCCAGATCTTTGCCTTCAGGATATGAAGAGTTCAGCTGCTGGTGGCTGCAACAGCACATGTCAGGTACCAAAAGAACCCTCTTCTAAATGCTTTTTTGTTGTTGTTTACAGTGCAGTTCTTTTCTGTTTCTATTATTCCAAGCAATTTTTTTCTTTCTCTAATTGCTTCTGATTTTGGCAGTATCATTTAAAAATAATTTTAAATGTTCATTTATTTTTTATTATAGTATACATTTAGACTAGTTTCAGGCAGCTGCAGCTTGGAATTACCCAGGGATATATGTTAACCCCTTGAAGCAGGCAGTCTACCTTAAAGGTGTAGTGACATGCTCACAAATTGATATATATAGTTAGAATTTGCAAAAACAATACTCTTAGGCATTTTTTTAGGTAAAAATAATTCTCTCTTAGTATGGAAGAATGCTGTCAACCCTACTTGTTAGCAGACAGTTATTAAAAAAAATGTTTCTATTGTTGAGCTTTTAGTAATTCAGGGAAAATATTCTACTGGAAGAGAAGGGACTCAAGTAACTTTCAGTGAAAGAGATAGTGTTGAATTTGTCCAAAGAGCATTGTGAAAGATGCTCTTTTCTAAATGATCAAGTAGCTTCAAATTCAAATCCAACAATGGGACAAATCTCAATTAGTAAATCTGAAAATCTGTTCTTGATCTGTAACTTGCAGTATATCTCAAAGGAAAATTTAACACATATTCTGAAAAAGCATTTATAGACTATATATATAAGAAGTATCAATGTATGTGTATTGCTGTTTTCATTATTAAATTTTGTCATGCCAGTCTTGAATATTATAATGCCTGATATCAGTACTTTTCTATATTATCCTTTTATTCGCCTTCCAAAGGAAATAATTTTGCAGAATTTTTTCCCAACTGATCTTTTACAATTAAAAATGTAAAAGTAAGAGGAAAATGGATACTAAGAAAAAAAAAGTCAAATATTTGACTACCATCTGTAAAAATAGATTATTGTTTTTCCTCTCTTGTTTTAGGCTTCCTAAGATTAAGAAATTGTCAATACATTAGTAGAAATTATGCATCGCAGTCTCTGATAATGCTGAGACTGTTTTCAACAAGCTTCCATACATGAAAAATTTTGCTTAAAATAAATTTCCATTCTATACCAGAGGTTATTCCTGAAGCAAGTATTTCCATGTCTTAAAATGACTCTTTAATTCATGTCCTTGTAATAAATTATGTAGCTCAATTATATTTTGTCAATTTTGTTTCTTCTTTAATACTTTGATCCTGATTGAGAAATCCTTATAAGATTGCAAAGTTTGTTTCTATTTTGTAGAGTTTCCTGAATGTGAAGCCTGCATATCCATTTAAACAGAAGCTGCTGGGCCAGAGTCAGAAGAGGCTGCAAGGCTACAACATCTAACTTGTATCAAGAAATCTAAACTTGTGAGAAGAATCTGTGCTCCTTCTGGAATCACAGGTAGTGAGGCATGCCTCATATTCTATGTCACAAGCTCCAAACAAGGTATGCTGTAATCTTTCTCAAAAACTGGGGAACAAAACAGAAGGCTAGAATGGCACCACTGAGCTCTGGATCCATCCACACCTCTAAAGACACAAAATAGGGCTCCACCTTTTTCCACCTTTCAGTGTTCTGAATGGAGCACAAACATAAAAGTGATTGTTCTTTAAAAGGACCGATGTGCTTTGGGGTGTGGGTTGACCCTGAACATCATCCACATAGCTGCTCCCTCCCTCCAGTCCTCACCTCAACTAGCAGAGAGAATATGAAGAAGTAAAAGTGAGAAAACTTTTCTAAAAGCACTTTAATAGGTGATGAGGAGAGGAGAGGAGAGGAGAGGAGAGGAGAGGAGAGGAGAGGAGAGGAGAGGAGAGGAGAGGAGAGGAGAGGAGAGGAGAGGAGAGGAGAGGAGAGGAGAGGAGAGGAGAGGAGAGGAGAGGAGAGGAGAGGAGAGGAGAGGAGAGGAGAGGAGAGGAGAGGAGAGGAGAGGAGACGAGACGAGACGAGACGAGACGAGACGAGACGAGACGAGACGAGACGAGACGAGACGAGACGAGACGAGACGAGACGAGACGAGACGAGACGAGACGAGACGAGACGAGACGAGACGAGACGAGACGAGACGAGACGAGACTTGCCACAGGACTACTGCACAATCTCTACTATTTGGCCCATTCAAAGTCTTGCCTAGGATCTCACTTAAATTAGTTCTTATTTTGAGTCACTAGGCAGAGAGGTCTCACAAGCTGACTGTAATGTGGAATATGAGTTCTCCAGAAACCCACAAAGCTTAGGATGCCATTTGGATTAGAATATAATTGTTCTCTTATTGCTCCCATCCAGTGGCATGTACTTACACCTCTACTGTCATTTCATACCCAAAATCTGGATCTTCTATGCAGGTCCTTTCACTCCATAGGGGGTTTTTAATGTCTAATTCAGCTTTAAGAAGAATTTTGGTTGTTATTTGACTTTTCTTAAATATTTATTTCCTTTACTGCTTTGCCCACTGTATGAAATCAATGGCAGGTGATCAGGGCCTTTATGTTGTTCCAGTGTAGTCAGGATCAGCCCATGACAAATGCTAAAGCTGCTATAGAAACTGGGCATCTAGTTCCAGGTGTATTGAACATATGTGCATATGACAGCAAACTGAATTGAAAAAAAATTTGTAGAAATGCACAAGGGCTATCGGTTGGGGCATATCACTTACTGTCTCAGTCTCAATTTCACATTGGAGTTCTAGCATGTTCAATATAATCACACTCAATGGCCACATAGCTTAATTCACACTATGAGAGTCCACTTTTACCAGATTTTGCACTCATCAGATGGGACTACCACAGAGTGATCAAGTCTGCACGTTCACTCCTTGGCTCTCCAAGTGATAAATCAGGTCATGGGAACCAGGGAGCCTTGGTAGGGGCAATACTGCCACTAAGACTCTGTCATGGTAACTGGGATCTGCTGTTCCTTGACAAGCACAGGACACCCATACCCTTTTGGATCCTTGCAAAGGATACAGCAGCCTTCAGGCCAGCCACAAGAGGATGCTTCTGCCATGTTTTCCTTGTTAAGCTCATCTCAACCTCCAACACAACGAACTGTTGGGCTCCTACTCTCATTTCAGAAATCAAGAGATGTTCTTCCCCTTAGTACCCTGGTGGCATTAGGGTATGCAGTGCACCACTTATGCACTGAAGTCTTATATGCCTGTTTTTTTTTGATGTTCAGGCTAACAAATCCAGAAGAAATGAGAAAAACCTAACTTCTTTATCACACAATAAAGGAGTATGATGATAAATTGCTCAGTTGTGGCTAACTGAAAATGTTGCAGAATCAGAACTCACAAAGCAGACTGGAAGTTTCAAATTAAAACAAGGCTTCAAGTGGGGTTCAGGTAACACTACCAGCAGCCACTGTGCCAGTTCCATCCAAGTTCTACTCTGAACATCATCTTTTAATATTTCTTGTCTGATATTGGGGGTCTTTTCTTCTGGAGCAAGGAAAGCTAGCACTAGGGCAATCCTACAGCTGCTTTAAATTCTATTAATATTTTAGTGAAATATAATTCATCATATTTTAGGTTCTCTCTTTGAAACTTTCACAATCCTATACATGTTGAACATGTCTCTATTCTCTTCAAAGGCATTTAAACTTTTCAGAAGAAGGCTACTGTTTTTTAATAAAAATTAATAAAATATTTCTTCTTTTCATTCTTTCAACTCCACTAATGTTGCTGTGTGTTCTAGTCCAGGCTGCTTTTCAGGAAGAGTAGCAAATGGATTACGTGACAAGATTAGTTAAAAGGTCAAGACATTGTTCATGTTCAGAGAAAATATTTTATTAGTGGCAGTAAGGAAGTTATGGGAGACAATCCTCATCCTCCTTCAGCATTACCAATAAAAGCAGGAAAATCAAAGAGGAAAAAGTGGTACAGATATAATCCCTTGAAGTATGTGTAATTTCAGCTCTGCAAAACAAAAGCTCTGTTATTTCTCTCCCTCCTTTTTCCCCTGCCACCTTCCCCCTGTCCCCTCAGCTATGCTTTCCTCATTCCCCTCCTCCTTCCTTTTATCTCTCATCTTTTCTTCTCTCCCATTATATTCCTTTAGTTTATGGAGTTTACAACTTCTTACAGCTTCTTAAGTGTTGAATCTCCTGATATGTAAATTCCTTATGCTATTTATGGAATTTAAAGGCTCTTCAATCTTAAAGCTAAAGAAACAGAGCTTGTAAATTTGTATAAACTAGTAAGTATATATTTCCCTATCCATATTTAGGTGTGCATTTATGCAGTTTAGAAATTTTCTGTAGTTGCAGAGAAATCTATCTGAAGCCTGCCATGTTTTGATTAGTTCATCATTTTAAATAAGGTCTGGTTGCAGATGAGATCCAATATAGCCCCAGTCTTACAATTTTTATACTTTGTAACTTTCTCACAGTAATATTACCTCTGATATGAAGTAATTAATTTTTTATGGGAAAATGATGTCATATAGATAGATATCTGTAAGAGACCTATACAGAGAAAAAAGATACATTGCCTTAAGTTTTATACTGTCTCCATAGCTGAGTAGCTGGTACCTGTCTTAAATTTGTTGAGACATAGGTCTGCTACCACTAACATTTCCTAGGTTGATAAATGCTTCTGCTTTCTTGCCTAATTGAATTTTTTCTTACTTTAATATAAATTCTTTACTTCTTACTGAGTGGGTTTTTGTTTTGTTTTGTTTTGTTTTTTTTGTTTCATTTTGTTTGTTTGTTTGCTATAGTTTGGTTTGGGTTTTTTCCCTCAGCATTACTCAACTTCGTAGCTAAAAGTAGCAGGTAAGGAGGGGGTGCCAAGTACTTTCCTTCTGAAATCACTATTTAAACAAAGCCATCAACTCTTCCAGTGGCAGTTTGTCTTGATCATTGAAAATAACTGCTCCAAAGAAAGAGAAAATATGTCAGCTTTGGTTTCCCTCTCATCAGTTTGAAAGTATGATTATAGTAGAAAAATAAGGGAAATACACTAATAATGGCTAATGGCATATTTTCTTTTGCTGATGAAGTTCAGTCCACAATGTGTCTGTTACACTTTTTAAAATTCTAATTTGCTTCTCTAGAATCAGACACAGAAAATTATGGATAAGCAAAAAGAGATCAATCTATGTTCCAGGCAGGGAAAAATGAATCAAAAAAAGCACTTTTATTAGTAAAAGACCTATTGACTGATAATCAAAATCTAGCAACTATTTTAAGTATAGATCTCCATACACTTGTTGATTTCAGTGTGTGTCTACAGGGACTTATGGCTTTATCCACACCAATCAAATCTGGACTTCAGCAGTTGGACAAAATGAAGCTGACTCAGTTAATTTCCAAGTGTGTAAGTCCACCAGGGGAGAAAGATGGAATTAAGCTTAATTGTTACCTATTAACCTTGACTAATACTTTACAGTAAAATAACAAATATACATTATAGTAGCTTTTCTTCTCCCTGTCCTTGCAGTCTGAAATATAGATGCAGTCTAAATCCCATTGACTTTCAGTACAATATATTCTCCCTGCATTCATTAGGTTTTGCTGACCTGAGCTAGGCACTTCTATAAGAAAACTTTTTTTTTTTTTTTTAAAGAACAACTTTGAAAACCACTGGGGAAGTAAGGATAAAACTTCATATACTAAAAATATAGAATCTATTTCACAAGAGACAAACTACATGGAGTATCAACATATGGTGAAAGAGTTCAGAATAGATGAAAATGTCCTTTCTTTAGACAAATACCTTATATTCCAGATCAACCTGTGCTATTAAGCTTGGCTATCAGATACTTTTGGCCTCTGACTCTTGGGAAAAGAAAGTGGAATACATTCACCATTAAAAAAAAATCTTACAAGGAATAATGGGAAAATAATTACAATCAATGCTATTTTCACAAAATTAGAAAGCTTTGAGTCCATGTGAAGACAAAAGAAAAGATTGACTGTAACCCATATTAGGGATGGAAAACAAGATAACCAGCTGGCAGCCAGAAAGGATAACTATCACCTCTCTGATACCACACTATTTTTAGAGCAATTATGTTGAACTGGTTGTAAATACTTGCAGAGAAATCATACAGGGAACTAACTGTATAATCAGTAAAATTTTCCCCAGTTAGACAGGTTATTTAAAAAAAAAAAAATCTCATTTTAGTAATCTATTTAATTGTCTTAGTTCTCTATTTCATATATTTCTGTGAGTACCTATAGAGATCTTCAAAGCAATCATTCAACAAAATCAGGATGTACAGACTTGATATGCCTTCACCTATTCTAGTGAATATTTTGTAATTTCTAGATGTTTTGTAATTGTCTGTGTGTTCCACCTGCATTTTTCTGCATCATATGTCCTTGGTGTTTTGTAAGAATTTCAGTTTCATGGAAAAGTATACATTAGATGTTTAATTTTATTTTTTCCTCATAATTCC